TGTATGTTTTTTAAAGCCATTTAATTGTTTCAAAACCACCACAAAGAGACAAGGTTCCCCTGTTATATGGACTTGTCATAATAGCTTATCCTTCTTTTAGACAATCAAGGGTTGGTTGTCTTCTGCATAAGCAGTATAGAATTACCCATGATCTGAGCCACAATAGTAACTTGACAAAAAGAAAATCCTACATTCTGATGAAGATAAACTTAGAAGTTGTAAAAAAAAGACTTCTAAGCTCCTCACCTTCTCAATTTTAACTTCAAGGTGTAGAAAATGCATGTATGTCTCAACTTGGGCTTGAACCCTGACTCTAATATCTTACTAACCATGTGATCTTAGACGGTTTTCCTAGAGACAATAAATAATATATATAAAATACCCACTACCAGGCTTTAAAAAGGAGGGGAGAGGTAGTTATTTGTAGTTTCACTAACCCTAGGCAAATCTTCCTGTAATATCAGTTCTATTCATTGATAAATATTTAAAAACACTTTTAACCATGGACATATTATGTAGTAGAATGCAATATTAACATAAAAAATTTAAAGATGAAACTCTAGACTTCAATAAAATTTGGTGAGTTTTTCCTGGAGGTTGTTCCCAGCTATGCTCCTAGACCTCCTAAAGAACATATACTATCTCTCTTCTCCAGTCTTTCATAACTGGGGTCCCCATATGAACCACAGAATAAAGAAAATAATTGAGAGACTGTTGTCCCAATTCTCTTGAATACTGTTCATAACCAGCACCATTTTAGATGCACTGGAAAAAGCTAATACATTATATGCAATGGATGCCTAATGTGGCATTAGGGTTTAATTCTTTCATGGAACTCTCATTGAGAAGGGCTTCTCTATCATCAGTAGTACTTCACTGAGTACTTCCTGAGTGTTGAGGAATCACTGAATTAAGAAAGTATAAGGGGTTGTATTTGCATTTTAGACAAATCTATCTAACCTAAGTACAAGAGTAATATGTAGGCAGGAGAAGGCTGGCGGTAAGACCAATTGGGAAACTCTTCACGGCTGAGTAGGAGAGAGTCGGAATGGAGAGGTCCACCACACCACAGCTAACAAATATGAACCAAGAATCCATAGACAGGTGAGTCTAGCCCTCAGCCCCACCTGCTGCTCTCTCCTTATAATTTTGTACAATTATACTCACAAAGTGATAAAATGTATGTTTCTTTATTGTCATGAATAAAGCTAAATGCCAGTAACAGAAATGAAAGTGAAAAAAACCAATGAAATAATGGTTCTGACAGGCCTAGCATGGTGGCTCACACTTGTAATCCTAGCACCCTGGGAGGCCAAGGTAGGTGGATTGCTTGAGCTCAGGAGTTCGAGACCAGCCTGAACAAGAACAAGACCCCATCTCAAAAAATCAGTTGGGCATTGTGGTGGGCACCTGTAGTCCCAGCTACAAGGGAGGCTGAGGTAAGAGGATCACTTGAGCCCAAGAGTTTGAGGTTGTAGCACTCTGGGAGGCCGAGGCAGGTGGATAGCTTGAGCTCATGGGTTCGAGATCAGTCAGAGGAAAAAGTGAGACCCCATCTCTACTAAAAACAGAAAAAACTGAGGCAAAAGGATCACTTGAGCCCAAGAGTTGGAAGTTGCTGTGAGCTATGACACCACAACACTCTACCCAGGGCAACAGCTTGAGACTCTGTCTCAAAAAAATAAGTAAATAAAAAGAGTCTAAAGTTGCTCTGAGACATGACACCATGGCACTCTACCAAGGGTGACAATGTGAGACTCTGTCTCAAAAAAAAAAAAAAAAAAAAGGCTCGGCGCCTGTGGCTCAAGCGGCTAAGGCGCCAGCCACATACACCTAAGGTGGTGGGTTCGTATCCCCAGCTCA